ACATAAAAAACCTAGAAGAAAACCTACCGGTTGCATACATTCACGACATAGGCAGGGCAAGGTACTTCATGTCTAAAACACCAAAAGCAAACGGCAAAAACAAAAGCAAAATGACAAATGGGGATCTCGTTAAACTAAAGAGCATCCTGCACAGCAAAGAGAAACTACCCATCAGAGTGAACAGGCAACCTACAATGAGAAGAAATTTTTGCAATCTACTCATCTGACAAAGGGCTAATATCCAGAACCTACAATGAACTCAGTCAAATTTACAAGAAAAAACCAACCCCATCGAAAAGTGGGCAAAGGATATGAACAGACCTTTTCAAAAGAAAGACATTATACAGCCAACAGACACATGAAAAAATGCTCATCATCACTGCCCTCAAGAGAAATGCGAAATCAAACCGCACACTGAAGAACTATCTCACACCAGTTAGAATGGCAATCATTAAAAGTCAGGAAAACACAGGTGCTGGAGATGTGTGAGAATAGGAACACTTTTACACTGTTGTGTGGGATGTAAACTAGTTCAACCTTATGGAAAACAGTATGGCGATCCTCAAGGATCTAGAACTAGAAGTACCATATGAACCCAGCCATCCATTACTGGGTATATACCCAAAGATTATAATGCATGCTGCTATAAAGACACATGCACACTATGTTTATTGTGGACTATTCCAATAGCAAAGACTTGGAATCAACCCAAATGTCATCAGGGCGCAACTGAGATTAAAGAAAATGTGGTACATATACACCATGGAATACGTATGCAGCCATAAAAAGGATGAGTTTGTGTCCTTTGTAGAGGACATGGATGCACGCTGAGAAACCATCTTCTCAGCAAACTATCGCAAGAACAGAACACAAACACCGCATGTTCTCGCTCATAAGGTGGAACTGAACAATGAGATCACTTGGACTCGGGAAGGGAACATCACACACCGGGCCTATCACGGGAGGGAGAGGGGGGAAAGGATTGCATTGGGGAGTTTACGTGATGTAAATGACGAGTTGATGGGTGCTACGAGTTGAATGGTTGCAGCACGCCAACATGGCACAAGTATACATATGTACAAACCTGCACGTTATCCACATGTACCACCTAGAACTTAAAGTATAAATTAAAAAAAAAAAAAAAGAAAATCTCAGCACCACGCTGGCTTAAGTTAAGCCTTTTCCAAAGTGCAGCAAGCTGATCAGATGCGGATTACTTGTTTTGTTCATTTTTTATATTGTAAAATTTATTGTTGCTTTTAAAAAAAATCCTATGGATTCTTTATAACTGTTTCTCAAAACCCTGTTTGCCTGGGTATCAGCAGCAGAGGCTGCAGAAGATAAAATATTGCTGAATAGCGAGTGTACCTGTCTGATTCTTGCTATGGAAGCTTCCTCTCAGGGGTGTACTCCACCGTGTGAGGTGTGGGGTGTTGGTCTGCCCCTAGTGGGGGATGTCTCCCAGTTAGGCTACTCAGGCAGATAGTCTGTCCGTTCTCAGATGTCAACCTCCGTGTTGGGAGATCCACTGCTCTCTTCAAAGCTGTCAGACAGACTCGTTTGCGTCTGCAGAGGTTTCAGCTGCTTTTTGTTGTTGTTGTTGTTGTTGTTTAGCTGTGCCCTGTCCACAGAGGTGTAGTCTACAGAGACAGGCAGGACTCCTTGAGCTGCTGTGAGCTCCACCCAGTT